CAAATATTCTCATCTATCGGGACCTGAGAAATACTAAGATAACTTCTAAAAATATAGCAAAAGCCCTTCGACTTATATACTGCTTCACAGTGCTTTGCAGCCCTCCGAGTCAGCCTATTGCCCCCCCAACAATCTGGGTCCTCATTTTATCGACCTCGGAAGGATGGAAGGCTGAGTCAACCTTGAGCCAGTCAGAATCGATCTACTGGCAGTGGGTAGAGTTTGCCTTCAATAATGCATTACAGTAGTTAGAATGCATTATTGAAGGCAAACTCATCACCATGGCTCTTATGGCTCATATAAGTAGTTGTAAGCAGGGCTAATATTTTTCTTTCTCTGAGCTAGTTACATTGCCTGGCCTTCACCAATTTTTAAATATGCCCACCTGTGGATACTTTCATCATTACAGAATACAGAATAATGGTCTTTGCCCTTTGACTTTGGCCGTCTTCCAGTCCAACTCCCTTGATCTCTATTTTGTCCATTCTGGACAAGTGGCTCTTTGATCTCTTCTGAAAAACCTTCAGTGATGCAGCACCCACAACTTTTGAAGGCAAGCAGTTCCACAGGTTAATTGTTCTCACTGTCAGGAAATTTCTCCTCAGTTTCTTAGTTTCCATCTATTGCTTCTTGTCCTGCCTTCAGATGCTTTGGAGAATAGATTGTCCTCCTCTTGTTTGTGACAGCCTCTCAAACAGTGGAAGACTGCTAACATGTCACTCTTACTCCTTCTCTTCGTTAGATCAGATATATACAGTTTTTCAACTGTTCCTCATACATTTCAGCCTGCAAACCCTTCATCAGAGGTGGTGTTCAGCCAGTTCCGGCCAGTTCTGGAGAACAGGTAGCGGAAATTGTGAGTCATTCGGAGAACCAGCAAATCCCACCTCTGACTGGCCCCACCCCCATCTCTTCTCTGCCTCCCATTGAGTCCCATCTGATTGGCTGGGTCTTCTTTGGTTACCCTGCACAGGAGAACAGAGCTGTAAAGCAGGTTAGTGGGGTGGGAAAGCAATGGAGATTTTGCAGTAACCTCCCCCTGCCATGCCCACCAAGCCATGCCCACCAAGCCATGCCATGCCCACAAACTACACCCACATAACCGGTAGTAAAAAATTTTTTGAATCCCATCACTTCCCTTAATCATTGTTCCAGTTACATGGGCTATTTATTTTTATTTATTTATTTATTTGATTTGTCAATCACTTACAAGATAATAGGTATAAGTATAAACATAGTTATGAATACATGAAATGGATACATATAAGAAAAATAAAAAAGAAACAATAGGACAGGGACGGTAGGCACAATGGTGCGCTTATGCATGCCCCCTACAGACTTCTTAGGAAAGGGGTGAGGTCAATAGTAGACAGTCTAAGATTAAAGTTTTTGGGGTTTGGGGAAGAAACCACAGAGTCAGGTAGAGTATTCCAGACATTGACCACTCTGTTGCTGAAGTCATATTTCCTGCAATTGAATTTGGTGCGGTTTACCTTGAGTTTGTATCTATTGTGTGCTCTTGTATTGTTGTGGTTGAAGCTGAAGTATTCATTGAATATATGTCTATGGAGATTCTCAGTCATTCAGGTCATGGTTGTCCCAAAAGTGCTTTTTACAAGAGGCAACTGGAAACCAGAAAGCTCAGTTCCCTCTTGAAAAAAAAGCAACTTTGGGCCTTATTAAATATACGTACTTAATTTCCTTTTTTTTTAAAAAAAGTCTAGACTTGCAGTATAAGCATTATCCTTTGCCTAATAAACTATGATATGTTTGAACATAATTGTGTATATTATTTACCTGCTATGGATTTAACATACATTTCATGTCTTGTTGCTGAGAGCTCGCCTACACCTGTGAAGGTGATTCCTTCCATTTCAACACTTTGCTCTGGAAATAAATCTCACACCCACTTGGTGGCCATGCAAATCTAGAGGTTTGGCCCTCGCATTCTTGGTTGCCTTTCAACATGAAAGCATCTGCAAAGAGATGTGGGCAGCCCCATTCTTATTGGTCTTCTGGAAGGTTGTGAAAACCAGCTCTTCCCCCAGCCACAGATGTTGCTAGAGCTTGGGTGTGGATGTGATTAGTTTAATTGCGTTGATTATACAATTTGATACATGAAACCTGACCAAGTTACTTTTTAATGGGATTGTATAGTTTGGTTTCTCTTTGTCCCTCAGTGTTCCCTGGTAGCTATATAAATATGTTAAGCAATTAAGTAAATATATATTACTATGTCCCCAGAAACTTCCTACTGCAGGTTGAGTTCTGGAAAAAATAAATGGTTTTTCACCTGTAAAGAGTAGCCACTGTACCGTTCTGGTTGTGGGTGCAGGAAAGGCTTTCATAATATTCCTTTTAAGATGTCTGTCAACTCATAAAACATTTCTTTTATAGTTGCCATCAGAAAGGGAGGGGGGAAAGGGGTTTGAAAGAGCAGTGTGGCAGCTTGGAAATCAAAAGGGCATTCCATTCATAGCTTTTTCAGAGATTGTAACTAGATGACTGAAGTGTCTGCCACACAAAAATCCAATTGGAGAACATGATTGATGACTCTTGGCTATGGACGTGTTTCGTTGGAAAATATGAATTATGATACACCCAGAAGGGTGGGGGAAAATCAGGGTCAAGTGAATTACGTGTCTCAGAGTTGGCTACACCTAGGTCATGCCGACATATTAACTCCCAATAAATCCTGTTTAGTTTTGGAAGATTGGCTCAAGACTCATGATTTAATTGGGGTAACTGCCAGAATCCTGACAATGTCATAGCTTCTGACCAAGTTTCCCAGGAATGCTGTAGACAGAGGAACCTTAAGGGTTTGCAAGCCTCTATAGTGAGGAGGTCCCTCAAGAGACCCCTGCAAGGAGGGTGCAACTATAAATAGTATTGGGAGAAATATCCATCTGGTTCAGTTCCAAGCCAGGAGAAAGGCACTGGAGACAAAATGGAGGCTGGAGGCTGATTGGAAAAGAGGGTCCATTTATTGATGAACAGAACCACATGTTTGTGATTCTGGTGCAGCTGACCACCTGGAGTCAAGAGTGAGGGGGTATTTATACCTTCTATTGGTCTTTGAACTTGAGCTTCCTGTTCCTGTGCAAGAACATGTATTCTATTGGCTGCTGTAGGGGTCATAGCTGGCTCTGTAGTTTTTCTGAGCCAAGCTTGGTTGAAACTTGGTCTGCTGATGCAATGAAGGAGCTTGTTGGGCAATTCCTAGTGTAGCTGAGGGCTAATCCTACCTTGCTGCAGGAAAATTGCTTATGAATAGGGCTGCCTAGATCTCAATAAGCTCTTTATCTCTTAAGCGCTGACATCTGCTGAGGGCCATCAAGAAAGGTAGGGGCTGCTTTCTGTCTCCAAGAGCATGTTTCTCAATTTCTCATCCAGGGAAATATAATATTCTGCCTTTTTAATATTTCTTAAAATATTTCATTCTTCTAGGAGAGGGGTGGGTGATAGCTTTCTACAATAGCAACAGCACTTAGAATTATATATCACATCATAGTGCTTTACAGCCCTCTCTAGGTGGTTTACAGAGTCAGCCTATTGCCCCCAACAGTCTGCGTCCTCATTTTACTGATCTCGGAAGGATGGAAGGCTGAGTCAACCATGAATCAGTGAGACTCCAACTGCCAAACTGCAGGCAGCTTTCAATCAGCAGAAGTAGCCTGCAGTACTGTGTTCTAACCACTGCGCCACCATGGCTCATAAAGCCATTTTAAGCCTGTGCAAGGTACTCATTTTGTATGTGATGAATTGTACTGAAATCTGCATTTAATCTCTAGGCTTTAGAAATAGTGAGTCATGAAAAAATGGACGAGAGGCAAGATCTCACCCCAAAATGCAGCCTTCATCACTTAATCGATTGCATGTTTGTATGTTCAATCTGAGTGAAAATTTTGTTATGAAACAAAACCTTTAGCCTTGTTAATGCTGTAGAAATCACTTCATGTACAGTATGAAAATTATACAATTCAGTAATCCTGGGTAGAAGATATCCAATGCCAATCTTCATGCTTCAGCTGGGACACTGGGATGGAACAAAACTGGTAGATTTTATCGTGAACAATAATTTAATAGTAGTAGGGCTAGTAGTGCTGATTAGAGTAAGTCTCTTGTGCTATCTGTTGAATGCTTAAACCGTTGAAATATATCTTGAAGCAGACAGATACTAAAGTTGATTTGAAGTCATGAAGGTCTTTCCAGGGCATAGTAACAACTCCCAGAAAAGCACAGTCAATTTCTAAGGGTGCTGGAAGCTCTAGCATAGCTAAAAAACTTGTAGCAGAGATTTAATAAAAAATACCATAAATTTTGAGCCACTTTGGATCTTGCAATGAATATACGCCAGATGATCACAAATAGGGTGGCCTTCAGTGCACAGTGAATGGTCTTTAGCCTGATGAAGCAGAGAAGAGAAAGAAGAGAAGCTGAAATATCAATGCTAGATCATTCACAAAACAACTCAACCACTAGCTGGAATATGGAGAGCATGATGGAACATCAATAACAGGACGGAATAATAGAAATGCAGTATTGGAAGGGACCTTGGAGGTCAATCAGTCCAACCCCCTGCTTAAGCAGAAAACAGTATACCATTCTGGACAAATGACTCTCCAATCTCTTCTTGAAAACCTCCAGTAATGGGAGTAGCCACAACTTCTAGAGGCAAGTGGTTCCACTGATTAATTCTTCTCACTGTCAGGAAATTTCTTTTTATTCTAGGTTGGATCTTTTCTTAATAGGTTTCCATCAGTTACATTTTATCCTCAGGAGTGGGATTCAGTTTTTTTAACAACCAGTTATGTGGGCGTGGCTTAGTTGGTGGGTGTGGCTTGGTGGTCATGTGATTGGGTGGGTGTGGCTAACTCAACATCACTCATGTCAAGGGGAACTTCTCCTCGTCTGGCATCTCATGACAGTGGGGATGCTGCAGCTGTGATAAGTGTGAAAAATGGTCATAAGTCACTTTTTTTAGTGCCATTGAAACTTTGAATGGTCACTAAATGAACTGTTGTAAGTCAAGGATTACCTGTACAAAAATACAAAAAGCTTCTTTGCTTGCAAAAAGCTGCCCTAAATACCAATCATTAGATTAAAAATACCTGCAAGCCGGAGTTACAGATCAGGCAGGGTGCCCGAGCACCTTGAGGAATTAAAATAGTTAAAATGCAATGATAACTATCAGCAGCCAACTCTTGCTCATAAAGTGAAACCCAAAGGTCAATTAAGCTCTCCAGAAAGAGCAACCCAGGAGAAGCAATTATTAGATCCATTTGAACCACTTAAAGATACCAGCTGGTCTCACTCACCTTCCAAGATATTCTAAGGAAATTATCCAGATCACATGCCCCCCAGAAAGGCAGTAAAAAAAATCAGTGCCAAGCTTGCATCCTGCCTCTTGGAAGTACACCCCAAAAGGACATTGCCAGATACCACTAAAGCAGTGAAGGAAAACCCCCACCCCAGAGAGAAAAAGAAACCACGAGGCAGGAAAAAATTCAATCACAATACAAATAATTAAATCACAATAGTAGCTGTTGCTTGTTAACCCAATTACCAGACAAATAGACACAGGAACTAGCCAGATTTGTCAACCCAGTTTCTTTTCAGGAACAGAGATTAACCATTTTCCTTCCAAAAAAAGCTGAATAGGGAAAATTATCCCATCAATAAACACAGGATTAAATGTCGCCAAGCACAGAATTAACCTTCACCAAAAACCAGTTTTAGACCAAAACTCAGAAAGGGTATGTAAACTCACGTTTGAATGTCAATCTTTCTAGCTAGCCAAGAAGCCTTGCTGAATGTCACTCATCTTGGTTCCCTGTCACTAAAAGCCTTGCTTCATTATTCAATTATTTCTTCAAAGTGCTGATTGTCCAGGGAAGTATTTCCTCCCAACAGCAGTGTAAAAATCTTGAAACAACCCTTCCCCTTTAAGAAAGTCAAGCCCCAGAAGCTCTGGAGACAGGAAGTCTCTGGAGACTGGCAAGAATGTAATAAGGGTGGAAAAAAACAAAAGGAGATTGTTTCTAACTACTGGTTCTCTGAACTGCTTAGAATGTTAACAACTGGTTCTATAGAACTCGTCAGAACCGGTAGAGTCCCACCCCTGCTTATCCTGCCCTCAGATGTTTTGGGGAAGAAGTTGATCCTCTGTTCTCCATGACAGCTGCTCAAATATTGGAAGACTGCTATCATGTCACCCCAATCCTTCTCCTCATTAGTCTAGACCTACCCAATTCCTGCAGCCGTACTTCATGTGTTTGAGCCTCCAGTCCCCTAATCGTCTGTGTTGCTTTTCTCTGCACCCTTTTCAGAGTGTCAACATCTTTTTTGTATCGTGGCGACCAGAAATACTCCAAGTGTGGTTTTACCAAACCAATATAAATCGGTACTAGCACTTCACACGATCTTGATACAATCCCCCTGTTGGTGCAGCTTAGGACTGCCCTGGGTTTTTATTTGGCAGTTGAAGCATATACCAATCATATTGATAAATATTTTCTTCTATCCCATCTCAGGCCAAACTGCTATGTTCCACCCCATATAATCATAGTTATTTAGAGAAATAGGATGGAAAGTGGATGACATGATTAGAAGAGTGGCTCAGATTTTAAAGTCTTCTCTTACAGGGTTTCTTCATCCATCTTAGAAAGGAGGCCTGAGCAGTTAGTAGCAGCTCCAGAGAGCAATTTCAATTTCCACCCATCACTTATCATTCAAAATATTGTAACACTAAATTTTCTGAGAATAGAAACCACAGTTATGTTGCGACATACAGTACTTAAATAGTATGTTACTATTTAAATATCAGACACATAGGTAGTATTCAGTCGGTTCTGACCGGTTCTGGAGACCCAGTAGCAAGAATTTGGCATGGGTCGCAGAACTGATAGTGACTTCTGGCCGGCCCTGCCCCCGAACGGGGTCCCTGGTCCCCGGTCACTCAGTTGCCCCACCCACCTGATGCTTGGTCGCTTGCGCAGCTCACCTGCCTGCTGCTTGCCTCGCCCAGTCACTCCTCCCTTCCTATGTGGCACACTGGGCCCTTGTGGCTTGCCTAACTTGACTTCCCCACGTGGTGCCTGCACCCCAACTGAGCAGCCCTGATCTGCCTGCCCTGTTCACAAGTAAGCCTGTGTCGTGCTAGGCCCTCGCCCACCCCCGGGGCCTTTCTGGACCTCCCCCCCCACTGCCCAGGGCCTTTCCGGGCCTCCCCCTCACTGCCCGGGACTTTCCAGGTGGGAGGAAGCCAAGGTGTGGTGTCTTTTTTGGACCAGTCCAGAGGGTGGGAGGGGGACAATGGTGGCCACAGTGTGGCTATGGGAAGCAGCCCCAGGAGTTCCCGGCCTCCTTTTCGGGGTACCCCCACCTGCCTCTGCCACCCCCTCAGCCCCAGACCAAGCACAGAGAAAGCGAACAGAAAGTCTTTCCGTTCGCTTTCTCCCTGCCTTTTGGGTCACCTGCCCCCCGCCACCGCCACCCACGTCCTTCGAAAGGGAGGGTGGATGGATGTTCCGGGGCTGCTGCTTTCTTCATTGTCCCACCTCTCGCTGCTCTGGAGTTTGCCCAATAAGTTCTTCCCAGAAAAGATGTGTGTATGTGTGTGTGAGTCAAGGAAGGAAAGGAAGGAAGGAAGGAAGGAAGGAAGGAAGGAAGGAAGGAAGGAAG